GGATGCAGGATTTCGTCCAAATCCTCATCAGATTCCCTGACTGATTCCCTTTTGTCTTCGCTGTCCGATTCTGCTGCTGTCCGCACCGGCTGCTGGCGAACTACAACAGTCAGAAGGTTGCAAAAGGTGATCACATGACCCTGGGACACTGCAGCCATCATAAATATGAGGCAGTTGACAAGTGTCTGAATTTTGACCACATGACTAGAGGGATACTGTAACAGTCATAAGTGTGAAAAACAATCATAAATCACATTTTTTTCAGTGCTGTTATAATTTTAAACAGTCACTAAATGACCTGTTGTCAGTTGAGGACTACCTGAATTGTCAGTTTTTGAAGTTTTGAGAAAGAATGCTAAATGCCTAATTCTGTCCCGAGACGTGACTTCATTTTACTGACTTAAGGTTTCAACTAAATATATATTTCTCCCAGGTATTGATGGAATGTTTAATAAAATAGTGTTCTTCGATAATCACTTCCTTAAGTGGCATTTTAAAGAATGGCAGAGGTTTTGATGATGTCGTTTACATAACTACTTCTTTCAAGAGCCTTGTAAGATCATGCCTCTTATTGCTGTATAGGAGGAATTCCAAAGATGATTTAAAGCTGCCTTCTCCAACCTGGTGCTGTTACGATGTGATGAGATTTATCATGCTGGCTAGAATTCTATGAGTTTCCAACAGGAAGGACACTTGGTTGGGGAAGCCTGATATATAGTAAATCAGCCTTCCCATAGCTTGGGTTTCCTGTGGACTTCTACTCCCAGAGTTCTGAGCAATATTCAAGCTGGCTGTGGAATTCTGGGAGGTTGGTCCATACAAATTGGTCAGATAAAGTAAGGCCATAATAAACTGTCTGTTTACTTTGTTACTGAAACAGCATAATCTCAAATTATGTAAAACAAGCAGCATATATTTGCAGCATGCAAACTCTCTCCTTACATGAAGATGGAACAGGAAAGTAAGAAATTAAAAGCATATTTATAACTTCGTTCTGTAACTTCTGCTGCAGCATTTTTACTGAATTTAGTGCAATTTCTGTCCATAGTAGTTATCTATCCTTAGTCTCAATTACTGAATGCTATTAAAAATGGCATTCCCTATAAAGTAGTTATTAATTTGCAAGACATTGAGACAGAAACATTAAACAATTCAGCAATCCCAATTTTTATTTCCAGACTGAGCTTGTTGGCCTTGTCTGAATTAGAAAAGATTGAATTGCTTCTTCAATCCGAACTTCTGGGGCAGAGACAAAGAGAACAATAGGAGAGCTCCTATGTTAGACAGATGTTACACATGGAATAGCCAGGCAAAGAAAGCCTCTTAAAAGTTGCATAGCTCTTTGTTTATCCGTACTTTGCTGGAAAACGTTCATGCTCTAATTATTTTCAATTATGGTTCAGTTGGATGCTAACATGCCATATAGATCCCCTATGGAGCAAGGGGGAGGTCATTACACATGCAACCTGGAGAGTGTCTCTGATTGGCTCAAGATTGTGCCAATCAGCATGCAAGCAGAAAGGGAAGAAGGATTAGCTGACTTGTTAGAATAGCAAGTGGACAGATAGGACAGGATGTTCTCTAGGATTGAGAATCATAACCACTTTACTGTGACTTGGCTCTATATTGCATAACATCCACCTCCAGGAACAGCATAATGAGATTGAATGTCTTTATTGATCTGTTTATCCACTTACTGCTCATCAAATAAGGAACATTTTAATTTTGCCATATTAATGAACTCCTATCAATTACTGTAAGCATCTGGGTAGCGAACTGCAAAGCAAAATGGAGACAATAATAAGAATATCAGTGCAATACCTTCCAGGATGAATGGCTACAATTGAGCTGAACAAGCACTGGAATGCTATAGTTTTAACTGCCTTGCAGAATGAAAGGAGGAAACTCCCACCAGGAGGGAGTGGGTCAGAGTACAGATGCTATAGTAAGGTTGCTACTCAGCCCACCCTTCTCATGAGGAAGGAGTTGCCACAGGAGGTGTCTAGCAGTTTAGACTGTACAGTAGAGGGAAATTAAGTTCTGGTAGGTCATGTTTTATGTAATCCCATGCTGTACCTTACTGGGCTTATTTACCTTTAAGAAGCAGATTTATGTCTACAGGTAATAAGATATGCTTTCTAATCTATTAACCAGCCCTGGGTTTGGCCATGGGGAGGAGAGATTTTATTTAGCTTATTGCTAAATAGGTAAATCCCATGAGCCTTGAGTCTAATATTTCTTGATTTGTAGGGTGTTCAATATGAAAACTGAAATTTCAGGTCATTCTCCCTCCCGAATCTCAGTGCCAGAATTCAGCATTTGAAAAGACCACATGACAGCCTTAGTAAATTCTGCTTCAATATGTTGGAGAATTAGACAAACTTTTTCAGCTCAGTCTAGTGGCATGGTTGTTGCTTTTTTTTTTTTTTTAAAGGCTAAAATAAACTGGAAAGTAGAGATTATTAGATTATTGGTTATATTCAGTCTATAACTTCTTCAGTTATCACGGGGAAAGATTTCTGTTTGGAAAAATGATGCCAACCTATGCCATTAATAGCGAATGAGATGGAATCCAAACTCTGATTTTAAAGTTGTGCTTACCACAGGTCAAAGACGGACTTGCAAATGAGCAAACTAACCATGGCTGCTTCTGCCATTTCGTGGTTTGTTGTCTTCTGCCAATATTTGTAAGAAATATGGAGAATGGAAAAGCCTATTAGTATTTGACTAAGGACTACTATAGTAGTAAGCCGTTTTGCAGGGAGTCAGGATTTGCAAACCATGTTTTCAAATTATAGATTGTAGCCCCCCAAAATTGCTTTCTTGGGATGGATTCATACATTGAATTGTCACTATGGCTTAGTATAAAAGCTTCCTAATATTTCTAGCTTCCAAATAAAGTTTACATACGAAACTAATAAAAGCGACTAAAATGTGCATGTGTGTGTGTGTATCTATATATATCTACATTTAAGACCTTTCTAAAGGTCTGTTTTATGAGAATTTGTGTTGAGATTTCAATTTAGCTAATAAACTGAATATTAAAAATCGGCTTGATTTTGGAAATTTGTAATAAAAGGCTCCTTCAACATTTTAGAAACATTTTAGGGTATCTATTGCCTTTGATAATGCTGAAATATTACTTGAATTGTGCCTACAACTCATTAAATTACCTTGCTTTCTCTGACAGAGTCAGATCTGTTCCTGAGTTAAGGAGCTTTGAACACTGCTTGGGGCGGTGGGGATAATTTATGAACATTTAATTGAGTCTGACAATTGTCCTTGGAGGATAAATGGGACAGAGATGGCATAGCTTTCTGTGCCTTCCCCCAAATGTGTTTTTCAAACCTATCTTACTCTGGTAGTGTTTTTCCATTCCTTCTTTTGCAGCTTGAGGCAAGGTGCCTTTTGCCTAGGCAGATATGCTTGTTCAGCAGGGTAAAGCAGAATTTATCTTTGCCAGGAATTTATTTAATATATCAGTTACTCCCTCAGTAAATATATTTAACTCTGGAACTAGAAATATATTGGGATATTTTCTTAAGCTGTTAAAATACTAATGGTTGAACTGAATTAACATTCTACGTAGATAGCACTGCAGAGATGCAAACACAATATTGCAAATTATGTAAAAGGCTTTCAGAATTTCTCACCTGCAAAATCTGGTTCAAGAACATTTGAGGTGGATCATTCTGAGTTTTGCATTGCATCCATTGTATTTTTTCCAATGAAACATAATTGGCTATGTTAACATAACATACTAAGCCATAGCTTATGGTTTACCAATTACAGTGCTGGGCTTATGTAGCAAAGTGAACCATTAGGACTTAATGTGTGAATTGACCAATGTACAATTGTGCCCTGCAATCACAGAACTAAAACAAACCTTTTCACATTTTTTCAGACCTTGAAACCTATTAGTTAAAATGATCAAAGGGCAAAGCTCTAGTGATAGAAAATGGGCATGGATTTTTTTTCTCCTTAGTTTCTTGTGGAACCCTATGCTATGTGGGCCACAGTTTTAAAAAGAATGAACAGCAGTGAGAATTAAACTTAACATTCTAAGAATTTCTATTTTTTTTTGTTTTCTTTAGTTTTTTTAAAACAAATATTTACCTATTATAGGTATGAAACGTGCTAAGTTCCTACTGACATTCCAATTGATTAATTTACTATATACAATGCAGATGAATTCATGTGTTCTTATTATATGTTCATTAAACAATTTGCAATTTGCTTCTGTCAGTCTCCAAAAACCAAGTAATACATGCAGAGTTGTTTCTAAGCAATTTTCTTTTATTGCTCCTTATAGACAGAAATCTTCCTAAACTAAAGCAACTATTTCGTTATCATTAAGGATATACTCTGATAAGTTCTAGGAAGGAACTTTCTTGATCCTTTTTCTTCTAATCAAATTGTCTAAACTTTGCTGTCTCTTGGTTCTCTGGAATGCAGCCTCTTCTTCCTGAAAACCCAGACTACACTCCACCACATCTTCACATCAATGGAATATTTATTACCGTTTTCAAAAATTATTGAATTTTGCACATCGGGTTCTGTGCATATGTCCTTGGATCTCTGCCAGGCTCCCGGCCCCATAAAAAAATCTTTAAAAATAAAATTGAAATCTTACATATTGTGACACTGAGTACTACTGTCCAACACGTTTTAAAATCTAATTTAAATTTACTTAGAAAATGAAAATGATATGGTTGTAGTCCAATGATTTCTTTAGAAGTTGACACTTCCCATCAACCTCCCTTACCTAGCAACAATAACTGCAGAAACATCATGGGAGGTCAAGAGAAGTCTACAGAGCAAGCTGTTTTTTTCTCAATAAATGGGGCTTCTCTGGCAGCCCGTGGTCACCATAGAGTCCATTTCTAAATGTTCAAGGCATGATGTGAGCGCACATAGTTGGCTCTCAATCTACATTCCAAAGTGCCTGTGCCTCTTATGTGTACCATGTTCAATTCTCCTTCTCTTTGTTTTTTCCATAGTAATGTGTTCTGAGAGAGTTGAGAAGATCACCAAGACATATCATGATATAGATGCGGTCACTAATTTGCTGGAAGAGGTACCTTTCACCAATTGTTTTTTTCAGAATCTTAAGTCAAAACATTGTGCAGCTTGGTAGAGTGGTACGACGCTCAAGGTGGTTTTGGTCTTTCCTAACAGCTGATTCTTATGACATGGCGTGGGCAGGAAAAATTCTACAAGGAAGTTCTTGGTTTAGGGTGGATGGGGAAGGCACAAAGAGGAGAAGAAATTGATTTAGGAGTGGCGAGCATTGAAAGAACTAAAGTTGTTGAGAAAGTGATGATGTTAGAAACCAGGTAGCATGTGAGACGAGATAGAGTCCTATAAGGTGAAACTTTGCTCTCTTGTCTTCCCTGTTCTCACAGAAGCAACATGATTTGGAGTTAGCAGCCCGCATTGGGAAAACATTGCTCAAACAAAATCGGAGTTTGTCTGAACGCAATGAGTTCTTGGAAGAGCAGTTAGAATTAGCAAAAGAAGAGGTAAGGAAGAAGTCTATTCTGCATATGTACTGTTAAACAGAGAAGAAACAAATAAGTATTGGGGAATGGTAGATTTCGAGTTTGTTTTTTAAAAACAAACACATTTGGAGAATCAAGTCAGGAATTATTTGAGTCTGACTCAGATTCTGAGATATCTACATTAGCTGAATGATGGTTTATGCAGCGCAACATGGCCTTCTCCAATTCGAAGAGACACTCATTCGGCAGGCTGAGGCAAAGAGGCAGTCTCAGAACCAGCGAAATTTGGGGGCTGGATAGGGGACATACTGTATCTGTCAGTGTGGAAGGGATTGCCACTCTCGAATTGGCCTTTTTAGCCACACTAGATGCTGTTTTTGGACCTCTTTTCAGAACACAATACCATAATCTTTTGAGATGAAGGATGCCAATGTGTGCAAATGAATGATGGTTTAAAGTTTTATAGCTCCATGTCTTGTTGTTTATATCTCATTTCACTGTTTCTCCTAGAAGTTTGTTGATTTTTCATTCTATTCTTCCCTATCTCCAATAAATTTTACAATAGCTTGTACATGGTTTAAGGCAGGGGTGTCAAACTCGAGGCCTGCAGGCTGGATTTGACCCACAATGTGATCGGATCCAGCTCGTGGGGTCATCCTAGTTTACCCAAAGTGAAGAGGAAAGATCAGGCCAGGGTAGCTTTGGCCCAGTCTACCGAATGTGAAAAGGAAACATGCCGCAGTTTGGGGAGTGGTGTCAAGCTGGCCACACCCACCCAGTTGGCCACGCCTACCCAGCCTCCCAAGGTCAATCACAGCCCTGATGCCGTCCTCAATAAAATTGAGTTTGACACCCCTGGTTTAAGGTGAGAAAGCAGCTGGCTAAAATCACATGGTTGGCTTCATAGTCAATGAGGATTTGAATGTGGATCTTCCAAGCCCCTTGTCCAGTGTTCAAAACTAGCCATTTCCAAACTGCTGCTCACCCAATGTCTGTCCAGAAATTCTTGAAATTGGAGTTCCAGCATATTTGAGGTGCTCCACTTAGGGGAAAGCAGAATCATAGGGTGTTGGACTCTATGGGGAATCCAACTCACCTGGGGAGAGCCAACTCATCTATGGAAGTTTCTCTTGATCCAACCTGACTTGCAGAGGTGGTATTGTGGGAAGAATGGAAAGACGAGGGCAGTGCTGTATCAGTCTGTGTTCCTGAACAAAAGGTACAATATAGATTTAACAAGTAAATGTATGACATATTTAGGGCTAGTGCAAGGTACGCATGCCAGAGTACAGGTAATCCTCAATTTATAACCATTTATTTATTGACCATTTAAAGTTTCAACAGCACTGGAAAAAAGTGACTCATGACCAGTCCTGGCACTTAGACCACTGCAGCATCCCCATGGTCATAAAATCAAATCTGCACTCATTTAACAACTGCATATGATTCACTTAACTGCAGTGATTTACATAACTAGGTAAAAAGGATTGTAAAATGGGGACAATTTGCTTGCAACCACTTTACTTAGAAATTCTGGTCCCAATTGTGGTCAAGGGCTTTTTATGTATATTTTTTCTGATTAACATTTTTATTAAGTTATAAAGTATTATAAAATACAAAATACAAAAGTAAATAAAAGACCAGTGAAGAGGGAGGGGAAAAGGGAAAGAAAGTGAGGAAAAGTAGAGAAAAGAAAAGAAAAAAAGAAGCATTGACTTCCGACTCTCTCTGTTGCAGTAGAATAAGGCATAATAATATGAACAAGTCATTTCTATAAAGATCAATCAATCTAATCTATAGGTTTTTTTTATCTGAATGTTTTGTGTTTTTTAAACCCCAGATAGCTCAGTTGAAACATGAAATATCGATGCGGGATGATCTTCTCCACATGTTTACCAACAGCACTGAAGACAGTGAGCCAACTTCCATCATTTCTACCCCGTGAGTATTTAGACAATGTTGTAGGGTGTATCCTCACTCCAACATATCCCTTGCAGAGAAACATCAGTGAGAAATGCTTGGAGGAAGGGTGGAACATAAAGTAATTCTCCAATTCATTTAGGATACCATATTTGTATAAAATAATCAGATTTGGATTAAATGTGATATTTGAAATGAAGTTAGTGGTGTTTTTTCTGTATGTAACCAACAAGAGAGGTGAAGAGAGATGCCACATCAAGCACAAAGAAATAAAAAAAAATATTTCTCTTAATAATAAGTTTATTGTTGTAACCATAGATCATAATATAGATCATAAATCATCATATAATGTACTTCAAAACAGAATAAGCTAACTGTAAAATTGTAAAGTAATTAAAAATAGTATTAGATGTAAACAGGTTACAGCAATATAAAAGCAAAGCTACAACTACAACTAAGAACTAAGTATTTCTAAATGTAAATAACATCAGAACGAAAGTAGCAACTTAATTGCTCACAGTTCCGGACATGTCTGCTGTATTATTGGAATGTTTTGAGTGGAAACCTGAATTACTGGAATGCTTTGTGTGTTTCACAATGCATAAGGCAGCTTTCGTCCATGTGTTCCCTTCAGGTTTATGTTGACTTCAATCATTTTCCGCTAGCTGGATGCAAATGAAGGTAGTTGTTCTATCAAATACTGTACTTCTCATCCCCCCCACCCCCGATTGGGTTCCATGGACCACAACGTTTAACTGTAACTGAAATTAAATATTGTGCAATTGCAATATTAGTGTCAGAATGTAAACAATTTCAGCTGTGGGAAAGAAGGTGGGAAAGTGTTGTCCAAGCATCTCTTCTCACCTCCACCCCCCCTTTTCTCTCATCCTGTCTGGAGGTTAAGCAGTAGATTAAGCAGCTGTTATATCTATCTGAGACAGAAATTCTCAACAGTCAATTTCTTACTCAGCTGTAAAGTGATTATAGGTAATCCTTCACTTATGTCCATTTAATGATGGTATGAACTTACAACGGCCTCAGAAAAAATTACCACCTTCCAAAATTAGGACTGTGGGACCACTTTGCAATTTGGATGTTTGGCAGTCGGTTCTTACTTTGACAGTTGCAGTGTCTTGTAGTCCAGTGATCCCCAACCTTTTTTACGCCGCGGCCCGGTATCCCCAACCTTTTTTATGGCGCGGCCCGGTACCGACATCAGCTGGGCGCCGCCATCTTGTTTTGATGAAAAAGTGCTTCCGGTGAGCTTTTCCGGGTAGAAAGCTCACCGGAAGCACTTTTTCATCAAAAAAAGATGGCGGCGCCCAGCAAGCCAGCGGCCCGGTAGGACTTGTTCCACGGACCGGGACCGGTCCGCGGACCGGTGGTTGGGGACCCCTGTTGTAGTCCACATGTTCACAATTTGTGACATTCACAGTCGGTTTCCGACAAGCAAAGTCAATGGGTTAATGACCACATGTTTTGCTTAATGACCACAGTAACAGTGATTGTAAAATTGGATTCTGTTCATGTTATGTTTAATAACATCATTTACCGAATCAAAAATTGTAATAACTGATTTGACATGATGTATGGACCCAAATGCTATAAATCCAAGATTCATATGTGGAATCAAGCTACTATGGTTTGTTTAATAACCCTCTTTAATACAAACCCTGTATTAAACCCTGACTGGCAGTGGCTCTCTAACCTCTTGGGCAAGTGGCTCTCTGACCTTGTGGAGTGACTAAACCTTGAACTTTTCTGTGTACAAAGCTCTGTAATTGTGCTAATGGCTCCATCTCCTTTCTCCTGTGATGATTGTCCCACTTTCTCTCCAATAGGTTACGAAGGAATGATTCTTCCCTCTCTTTGCATCAGTGCTTGCAATATGATCTTCTTCAGCAGAAACTTAAAGCGTTGGAAGAGGAGAACCAGAAACTGCGTGTTGAAGTAAGACTTGGCTGCCTGTTGTGTATGTGTGTATGGTCATCAGGCCTAGCAGTTTACTGTAAGATGAACTGTTTTATTTCTATTTTACGTTTTTAAATAGATAATCCCATACATTAAAAAAAGATGACTTTAATACATTTAATAAATTAGGTTTGGTTTCAACTGGCTGGATCCCAGCAGCAGCATAAAACTGAATTTTTTGATGATTTGGAATCTACAAATACTTTTATTAAAAACCAACCAAGCATGCAAGTTTCCACTAGAATTCTCTCACTTGATGCAAATTTCTGGAAAATTCAATCTTGCACATTCATTGTTACATATAAGGGTGCCACAAGCCTTCACATTTTCCCCAAATCCAACAAGCAGAACTTCAGTCAAATATAAGCTAAGTGTCATGTTCTATAATTTGAGGAATTCTTCAAAAAGAATTTTCCCCAGCCTCCTATTTATTACAATATCCACTTTTGCAGGGTTTTTAATCTTAGGCTACATGCCAACAATACTCTTCAAATACTGTAAGGATATGTGGAGTCCTGTTGCTTTCTGAGCTTCTTTGTTTGCCGGCAGATGTTTTCTCACTCAACTAGTAACTCCCATCAGTTCTTTCCAATTGGAATATTCTAGTAAACCAGCCTTATGGTCAATATGGGGATGGGTCAATAGAGTATTTGAGCCATATGGTCCCACAATCTCCTTTACAGGGACTCTAAGATGATTCTCATTTATCCCATCCTGAAGACATTTCCAGGCAAAGAACAGAACTTCTATTTGTTGCTCCTCTTATCTGATAAAAAACAATATACACTGCTCAAAAAAATAAAGGGAACACTTAAACAACACAATGTAACTCCAAGTCAATCACACTTCTGTGAAATCAAACTGTCCGCTTAGGTAGCAACACTGATTGACAATCAATTTCACATGCTGTTGTGCAAATGGAATAGGCAACAGGTGGAAAGCATAGGCAGCTAGCAAGACACCCCCAATAAAGGAGTGGTTCTGCAAGTGGTGACCACAGACCACTTCTCAGTTCCTATGTTTTCTGGCTGATGGTTTGGTCACTTTTGAATGCTGGTGGTGCTTTCACTCTAGTGGTAGCATGAGATGGAGTCTACAACCCATACAAGTGGCTCAGGTAGTGCAGCTCATCCAGGATGGCACATCAATGTGAGCTGTGACAAGAAGGTTTGCTGTGTCTGTCAGCGTAATGTCCAGAGCATGGAGGTGCTACCAGGAGACAGGCCAGTACATCAGGAGACGTGGAGGAGGCCGTAGGAGGGCAACAACTCAGCATCAGGACCGCTACCTCCGCCTTTGTGCAAGGGGGGACAGGAGGAGCACTGCCAGAGCCCTGCAAAATGACCTCCAGCAGGCCACAAATGTGCATGTGGCTGCTCAAACGGTCAGAAACAGACTCCATGAGGGTGGCATGAGGGGCCAACATCCACAGGTGGGGGTTGTGCTTACAGCCCAACACCGTGCAGGAGGTTTGGCATTTGCCAGAGAACACCAAGATTGGCAAATTCGCCACTGGCTCCCTGTGCTCTTCACAGATGAAAGCAGGTTCACACTGAGCACATGTGACAGACGTGACAGGGTCTGGAGACGCCATGGAGAACGTTCTGCTGCCTGCAACATCTTCCGGCATGACCGGTTTGGCAGTGGGTCAGTAATGGTGTGGGGTAGCATTTCTTTAGGGGGCCTCACAGCCCTCCATGTGCTCGCCAGAGGTAGCCTGACTGCCATTAGGTACCAAGATGAGATCCTCAGACCCCTTTTGAGACCATATGCTGGTGTGGTTGGCCCTGGGTTCCTCCTAATGCACAACAATGCTAGACCTCATGTGGCTGGATTGTGTCAGCAGTTCCTGCACGATGAAGGCATTGATGCTATGGACTGGCCCGCCCGTTCCCCAGACCTGAATCCAATTGAACACATCTGGGACATCATGTCTTGCTCCATCCACCAATGCCACGTTGCACTATAGACTGTCCAGGAGTTGGGGGATGCTTTAGTCCAGGTGTGGGAGGAGATCCCTCAGGAAACCATCCTCCACCTCATCAGGAGCATACCCAGGCGTTGTAGGGAGGTTATACAGGCACGTGGAGGCCACACACACTACTGAGCCTCATTTTGACTTGTTTTAAGGACATTACATCAAAGTTGGATCAGCCTGTAGTGTTTTTTTCCACTTTCATTTTGAGTGTAACTCCAAATCCAGACCTCTATGGGTTGCTAAATTTGATTTCCATTGATAATTTTTGTGTGATTTTGTTGTCAGCACATTCAACTATGTAATGAACAACGTATTTAATAAGAATATTTCATTCATTCAGATCTAGGATGTCTTATTTTTGTGTTCCCTTTATTTTTTTGAGCAGTGTATTTCATCCCAGGTTGTTTTGTGTTCTTGTCTATATGTGCTATTTATCTTACCTGTAGTTAAAGATTCTCATTTTCATTTCCTTACATGCATTTTATGTTGTGTTATTCATTATTGTATTTTTATCCCTCTACTTTTATATTCCATTCTTATTCCTTATTACAGATCTTATATTTACTACATGTTAATTGACATATATGCATATTTATACTTATTTCTTAGATTTTACATCACTGTTTTCTGGCTTTATGGCTGTAATAAAGGAATTGGATTGGATTTTATTTTCTCCAAATATTGTACCAATATTGTACCAAATGGTTAATCTTTGTCTTTCTCAGGCTACAAACATTGCCACAGAAACAAATCAATACGAGGAGCAGGAACAGAAGCTCATGCTTGATTGTGTGGAACAATTTTGTAAGTTTTTTTTCTCAGAGAGAGAGAGAGAGAGAGAGAGAGAGAGAGGGAGAGAGAGAGAAATGTTGATGTGGGAGGGAAAATAGGAGCAATCTCTCAATAACTTTAAAGTTCTTCATTTTGTGGTATAAAGCAGGGGTCCCCAACCACCAGTCCGTGGACCGGTACCGGTCCGTGGAACAAATCCTACCGGGCCGCTGGTTTGCTGGGC